GGGTCGGGTGGGGTGGGGCCGGGTAGGTGAATTTGAGGTGGTTCATTGGAAGGATTAAGTGCAGGGTGCACACGCAGCAAAACTTTATTTCAGGCACAAGACCGCGCGTCTGGAAGCACGGCCTCACACCCCATGCCCGCCATCCCACTGCACGTGCCGCATGAAGCAGCAGCACGCGCCGCAGCGTCTCCCCTGCGTATATACATTCATGTGATGGTCGCGCACCCAAAGTCGCAGATTTTGACGAGGGGCAGCGGCAGGCCCTCCACACTGTGCAGCAGCGTGTTCTCCAGCTTGATGTCCCGGTTGGACACGCCCTGAATTCGGGGGCGATGATGCGAGCCCAAAACGTGGGGCGATTATGTGAGTCTAATCCTCAGTCTTGACTTAACCGCTGCTTGCATTGAATGCAGATATGGTGAAAGACACCCTCCTGTCACCGCCACAGACACTCACCCTCCCTTTCCCCCATAAAACTTCAAGACCGGAGCGGCCATTACCCAACCTGCAGCGGTGGCAGCCAGAAGCCTGGACGCGCCCCCAACCTCCAGCATATCGCACGAACCCGCATGCCCATGGCCCTCAACCCCATTCGCGCGGCTTGCCAGCCCGCTCGGCCCCACACACCTTGCGGTGGCAGTAGTCAAAGGCCAGCACCACCTGCTGGAAGAACCAGCGCGCCAGTGGCTCCTTCAGGCGCTGCCGCTGCTGCACGTACGCAGACAGCGACCCACCGCTCGCAAAGTCCATCACGCTGTGTGCACGGAGGGCCGGGAAGCGCGCACGCGGGGGATGATGTGGGTGGCGATGCAAGGCGGCTTGGGGCGCGGTTCACAGGGCTGGGGCGGGTGCAGTAGGTGGATTGTCTCGAGGTGGGTGAGGCGGAAGCAGGGGCAGGGGCCGGCTGGGGGCGCCCTCACATGTTAATGTGACGCGGTGACACAAACACCTCTCTGAAGGCCACCACCTGCGGCGGGCAAGAGTGCGTACGTGTGTGCGTTTAGGTAGGAATACATGTGTGTATGTGTGTGTGTGTGTGAGTGCATGTGCTGTGCGCATGCAAGAGGCATAGTGTACGTGTGTGTGTGCATGCGCGTGCGTGCGTATTTTGTGTGTCTGTGTGTGTGTGTGTGTGTGTGTGTGTGTGTGTGTGTGTGTGTTCAGCATTTATGCTCGCGTGCGTACACACGCGAGGGTGAGCAGCACCCTGCCGCTGTCCCGTTGCAGATGCAAGCAGCTGCCGTGGTGCCAGGGTGCCCACACATGCCCGACCCTGTGGGCCACGTTGGCGGACAAGATCTGCTGACACCACGCAACCTGATCGACAGGCGCATATCTGGGTCAGCCATGAAACAGCCGCGTCCCAATGGCCCAACCCCAGGCGGCCGTGCGCTGCCTGCAAGCCCTGTAACCCACATGATGGTGGATCAGGCCCGAGTGGTTCAGGATCTCTGATTCCACATAGCGTGCCTGCAGGAATTCCCGCTCCTGCGACGGGCGATGCGGTGCGCCGCCGTCGTTGGGTGCTGGGGGCGGCGAGGGGGGTGGCCGGCAGCAGGCCGCTTCTGAGCTGCACGGTTGCTGGCCCCTGTTTTTCGCGCAAGATATCCCGATGCCGCGTGGCGCTGCCATGCACACGGGGCCATGAAGGCAGCCGCGTGGCGCTGCCATGCACACGGGGCCATGAAGGCAGCCAGTGCACACTGGCGGATGACCGGGACGGGCGGGACCCAAACTCCAGCAGCCCCTCCGCCGGCAACGCTGCTGATCGCCCGTTCTCAACGCGCGCACCAGCTTTTTAATCGCCACCAGCTCGTTGGTCTCCTTGTTCCTCGCCAGGACCACGCACCCAAAAGTTCCTGCAAGGAGGACCCCATGTGCACGAGCGCACGCTCAGCATGGGCGTAGTGCGCCGCCGAGAAGCTGGGCGCCCAGATGTAGTCAGGTTCTGCGCACAGCAGCGTTTCTAACGTGGTCCACAGCGTCAAAGGTGTGCCGCAAACAGACGCTAACCTTTGCCAAGGTTCTTGATGAACTGGTACTTGCTGCTTCGCATCCCGTCGCTGCTGCTCGGGGCCTGACTTGGAACCATCGTGCTTGCTGGACGCGCCCTTGCCTTCTCCTTGGGATGGCTTTTGAACGGATGACTGGTGCGAACGGCCATGTATATGAGTGCGGCGTCAGGGAGCCTTGATGGCTTCCGCGAGCCTCTTCGGCACCTGCTTGGCAACTGGCCCCGCTGCTTGCTGGGCAGCACGTCGGTTGCCTCGTCTTTTTGAGCCCAGGAGGTTGTTTCCCAGCCCATTAACCTGAAAATTTGACGGCAAATCTCGCTCCCTACCGGTGCATGAGTAGCGTCGCCGGCGTCCGACCCCTGTAGGCACCACGGGCAGGAGCTTGCGCCCTGCAGATCGGCATGCTACTCGTATAGTGGCATGCATTTAGTGATTGTAAGCCATACAAGGACCGTGCGTGCCGCACAAGGGGTGCAGCAACCCGGTAAATTGCGTAGCCCGACCGCGCGGGCTTCGCCGGTGCAGCGACATGGAGCCGTGGATGGATTGGTGTGTGTGTGAACCAAGGATAGGTGGTGTCGTTGTGGACTTAGGGCAGAAGCTTCGACAAGATTCAGGACACACAAGTAGGTTGTGACAACACCCAGCTGCCTGCTGTCCTCAGGGCCAGGTGCAAGTGCCCCTGACAACCAGTGCGCGTGCCAACGGACGCGTGTGAGCTGCTTGCAAACAGGTGCGCTCAGCTCAGAGACAGCCGGGAAATCTTTCTGTAACTGGAATGTCGCAATATTGCCTTGGTCATCCTCCCAGGCCCTGATAGACACAACACACACACAAACACACACACACACACACACGCGCGCGCACACACACACACGCACACACACATACACACACGCGAGCGCGCGCGCACAAACACACACACACACACACACACACACACACACACACACGCGCGCGCAAGCACGCACACACGCAAGCACGCACGCACGCACGCACGCACACGATGTCACATGTGCACAATGCACAAACAAGCACAGATGCACATGCACTCAAATTTTCACAGCTCTTTCGCGTGGCCCAGCCAGCCCCACTGCTCAGCCTCCGTCTCCACCCTGTACGGGTGATAAGTAACTTTGCACTAGCTGATCAACACTGAATTCAACCCCATTTTGTTGGTCAAACAGCAGCAGTCATTCAGCTGTCACGTGCAGGAGCAAGACAGGCCGTCTGGCAGCTCTGTGTTTGGCAAGTGGCCCCGATGTACTGCACTGCAACCATTGTGTGCGCAGAGCCTGCAAATACATATCTTTGCTGAGCACTGCAGCTGCTGGTGCGTTTCTCGCTGGCTGGTGATGCGCATGCCCTGCAAGGGACTGAGCCCATCTGGGCGACGCCAGCCGGAGTCCACAGATTGATGCGATTCAGCCCGCACATCTGGCTTGGCAACTCCCTGGCCTGCAAGATGCAGGGTGATACTGGACCCCAAAATTATAATGCGCAGCACACATCAGGCGCGTTTGCTTGGGGCCCATTGCGCTGCAGCTGAAGGGAGCCTCACAGTGTTCAGTGCAAGGGGACACGCATTGGCAGCAGGAACCGCAGCCGCGCCCGCAACACCAGTTTGGCCGGTAGGATGCTGGTGGGGTGCTTCTCCTGGTTGCCTCAGGCCTCAGGAGTAGGGACATCCTGGCCGTCACACTGCTGCCAGCACGCTCCTGCTCCCTTGCAAGCGCATGCCAAGCATGCTGATCATGGGCGCCTCGCTTGAGCTGCGCCAACCCAGACTGTACCGCGGCGTGCCTGTGGTGGTGTCAGTAACTGTTCCCCGCAATCTGATTGCTGTTGGCCTGTCCCTGTGGTTGCCAACATGGGAAGGGGGTAGTACCAGTGCATGGCAGGAAAGGAGATTGTATCACTGCACAGCGTATCGCCAAATGTGGTCGGGCACGCTCACGCGTGTGGTTGAGCGGTGACGCCCAGACGGAGGCGGCACACTGACAGGGTGCCGCTGGCCACATGAGCGTTTTGATGGCATTTCCGGCAGAGATCGTTACACCCCGACGACCCGTATGGGTGGTTTCCTTGTCTGGTGCTTCACATAACGACACCAGGGTGTCCGTCACACCCGAATCCTTGTTGCGCGTCCTGCAGCTGCCGTGTCAGCGTTATTAGAACCAACCAAGTCTCACCCGATCGATAAACTCGCAGCCTCGGTGTCCCCAGATCGAAGTGGTTCAAGTGTGACCGATCAATGTGTACCCCTGTGTTCACAGCCTGTATGGTCATCGCGGCATACGCCACGGCGGTGCGGCTGACCGCCGCAGCACCCATCAACCTCGCGGCTGCGGCAACGCTGGCCTCGCGCCCTGCCGCCCTCGCCGCTCTCGACGCGCTTCCGGCGGCCGACCTGGCTGCGAAGGCGGAGCGGCTGGACATGACGCCAGCAGAGCTGCGGGAGCTCATCCAAACTAGCGAGGCGATTAATTTTGACGCGGAATCGGGCTATCTGCACTACCGGTGACTGCGCGCGTGAACCTCCTTGGGACATCATTGGGCGTGACGGCGGGCGGGCGATCGCGCCTCGCGCTCAGCCATCCCGCACCAGCCGGTCGCGCCGCCTCTGGGCCCGTGTGATGCACTTCCAGCCAGTGAGGCAGCGGCTGCCTCAGCTCTGCGCTGGTTGTGCCTAGGCAGCCACAGCACAGCCGCCACCGCTTCCTCGCCGTCATGCGACGGTGGCTCACCCCGTGCCCCACCACCTCAGATGCGACTTTGGAGGCCATGCGGGCGGGCCCAACGCCAAGTTCCTCGTCTTTCCCGATGAACCACCTGGAACTACTAACAATCCGGCCGTCGCTTCTTTCAGCAGCCAGCAATTGCTGGTTGACCCAGGGCTGGCGGACCCGGCCACATCTCAGGCGTTCAAGCTGCACAGGTGACACTTGCAAGCGCCTGCGCACATGCGTGCATAACAACCTACACTCGATGATGCCCAGACCCCGCAAGAAATCGGCGCTCTTGGTCACGTGAGATGCACCATGTGCAGAAATGCCACTGCATGGCCCCGGCTCTATCCACCCACCCAACCCTGGCGCGTCCCGTGGTTGCAGCCGGCCGGGCGCACCTCGGACAATTTACCTGGACTTCAATGGCCACGTCACAACAGGCACAAGGCAGGTGGCCGATGTGTGACCTCGTCTGTCCCGCCATGGCTCCCAAGGCAACGATCATCGGTAGCCCCGCTGGCCAGCAGCAGAATGCTGGAATTCAGCATTCTTGCAGGTCACGCCAGCTCAACACGGACTGCCCCCTCGCGCATGCCCCAGCCCCACACGGCAGTGGTTGCATGAGATGACGTGACACATCGTTTACCGCGCTGTTGAGGGCCCCGCCGCACTCAACCGCTGCACGCGGGCGTCGCAGGTGGAACAGGGCACCCTGCAACCAGGACCCAAAGAACTGTCACAGCACCACAAACGCATTCCCACCCAGCTTCACCACCGAGCCATTCGATCTGGACGGCAACACCAACTCGTTCAGCGCCGCGGAACTGGCGGCGGTGAGTTGTCGCACATACACAGCCATAAACATAGCTGTGTGATGGCTCACGCTCCTAGTACAAAGCTCAATCTGGCCAGCCCCACAAAGTGGAGGAGAGGAGCGCGCATAGTTGGCACTTGCTGGTGCCACTCCACCCACTGCTTTCACGCCCGCCCTGCAGAATCTTTCCCCATCCATCTTTCTTGATCCAACGCCCCGTGTTGCTGGCCGCAGATTGTGAAAGTATGGTTGAATGTCGCCGAAGGTGTGTGGGGCCCAGCACTGGCGTGTGGATCCCTTCTTGGGAAGGTCATCGGTGCAGGGGCGACGATGCGGGATAAGGGTTTGGGCTCCGGCATGCTCTGTGTGGAAGAGCTGTGTCATGCAAGCACCAAGTAATCACCCAATCACTCATGTGTGCATCGCAGACTATGCTCCTTTCAACGTTGACGTCACGACAGGTGCGTGGCTATGGTCGCATTGCAGTAGCTGCAGCGGCACGCTCGCTTCCATGCGCGCATGTGTGCCACAGTTCATCGATGAAGGGCGAAGGGTCGTGATCAAGCATCCACACCCTCGTCGGCCAGCTGCGCTGATTAACGAAGACTGAAACCCAATTGCATGCACCATGCAGAGGAGCCCACCTTCTCCCTGGCCAGGGGGGTCGGCATACGCGTTGTCATCGGCGGCAGCGACCTTGACTGTGAGTGCTGCCAGCCTGGGGACCTGCAGCCAGCTCCCTGTCGTCTGGTTTGCAGGACTATGGGTGCAGCAACAGCAGCACACCTGCTTTTTTGTGCTGGGTCTCACGTACGGGCAGCTAGGCTTGCTGCTTTTTGTTTGTTGTTGCCAAATTCCGCTACGTTCATCGATGTTCATCCCGTCTCTTCACTCCACCAACACAAACTTCTGACACGTGTGATTGCAGGGTACGCCATCGGCTACACTCAGGTGAGATTGTCGCGCTGAGGCACCGTTTTCAAGGTGCCCTTGTCAAACAACACAACGATGCAAGCGCAGGGCTGTTGCGCAACCTGGAGTGCCACAGCTCACAGCCGTTGGGGCTGGAGTGGAGCGGCACGCCCTCCTTGCGCAAGCCTCGTGGACTTTCGCGCCATGCCTTTTGCATCGCACGACGTGCTTCGTTGCGTTTTGCTGCAGGCACATTTCTGCAGCGCAAGCCGCCCCTGACGTTGACTATGTGGTTCCCCACCCACCACGCTGCATCTGACCCCCCCCAGTCAATCGCCGGTGGAGTTGCCTACGTGTCAAGCTTTGGTGATGGGAATTCCGGTGCTGGCTTCCCCTCAGGTGGCAACGAGGTCGCTCCCTGGTGAGGATGCCTCTTGCACATGATGTCAGGTGGTATGAGGCGTCCTGGACGGGGTGCTACCTTGTCAAGCACAGATTGGCCATCCATCCTCGTGGATTGCCCAAGAAAAGTACCCAAGATAATTACGAGGGGATGCCTGCTCCTTCGCCTTACCCTGACCCAGCTGTGTGCGGGCACCTGGCATGCCACGCCCAACTGCCCCTAGCTTTGACCCTCCGAGCGCTGCGCTTGACCCATGCCGGCCTGCAGTTTTGTGTGGTCGAAGGTTTTCAGGAACAATCTCAAATGTGAGGCAGTTTCCCCTGGCAGCGGCGCAAGCAGCATGGAGTGCCGAGCCTCTGCGAGGCCCGCTTCTCCTGTTCATGACTGCCCTGTGTGCAGGGGTTGCTGATCAAACCGACCGCTCGTCCCCGCTGGCCTGTGTTTGCTCTTAAAAACGCCACCCTGCATAAATGGTGGCTGCTGCATCCCTGCCGCAGCAATCTGGGAGGCGGCATCCCACGAAGCTGGGCACACGTTTGGCCTGCGGTGGGTGCCAAGCTGCTTCTTCTACTTCTGCTGCAAGTGCCTTCTCCTCTTGTCCGGACTGCTCGCTATTCTGTTGTTGCGCACCTGGTCTGCCCGCCTCCCTTCTTTGCCTCCGCCGTCCATTCTCCTTCCGCGCGCCCTGTGCTCCTGCTTTCATGCCCACCCATATTTCCTGTCCGTGTGTACATGTCTGAATGCCCACACCCGCAAGCATATGACAATTCACAAGCACTAGGGGCTGTACGTGCACATGCGTATCATCTCAGGGCACCTGCTTCCTCACTGCTTGCAGCCACCATGGGCGCGTCCTGTCTGCAACAAACGCGGCAGAGGAATATTACCGGGTGAGCGGTTGAGTGCCGTAGCGCCGTACGCCTCATGGTTGTGTGTCTCGCATGTCGTATTGGGGCCCAAGTCCAGTGGGCAACAGGAGGGGGGGGCAGCCCAGGGCGACTTGCCAACTGGGGCTGAATAGCGTACGGGAGGTTTTGCATGGGCGTTGCGGCAAGTGTGGCAAGATGCACGCTGCATTCAATGACCAGCCAGCTTGTGTCGACCGAGCGGTCCAAAATGCGACTCACCTCCTCCCTGCTACAACTCCCTCATGCGCGCGCCATCGCTTCAGGGCCACGCAAGTGAGTGACGCAATTGATACTCCACTTGTACATGCACCACCAAACTGTCGGCCGCAACGGCTGCAATGTATGGCCAACAAGAGCACCCTGCCTCTTCAGCTTTGGAAGTGACGCTGCCGCCAAACGTATTTCATCACAAACACAGACCACGCTCTGCCTGACTGACGCTTCGTGTGCTGTTCTCATCCTGTTGTATCCGTCGTCTGACCCACCCTCGCATCCTCCTCTCGAACAGCATGGGCACCCATCATGGGCACCAGGTGGGCTGTGTAGGCGCGCACACGCGCCCTGTGCGCGCGCGTGCGCGTGCGCGTGCGTGTGTGTGTGTGTGTGTGTGTGTGCGCGCGCGTGCGCGTACGTGTGTGTGTGCACGTGTGTGTGTGTGTGCATGTGCGTGTGTGCGCGCGCTCATGCACTTGCCCGTGCATGTTTGTGTGCACAGGTGTGTGCTTGCGCACTTACTTGCATCTTCATATGTGCAAGTGCAGTCGCCGTGTTGCCCTGGCCATCCCTCTCATCTTCAATGCCACCATCACCATGACCCCCGCAAAACACACCCTATCCGCCTTTGCTCAACGAGCAGTTACTCTAGGAATCTGACGCAGTGGAGCCGCGGCGAGTGAGTCAAGGGGGCTCAAACAATCTTTTTCATGTGCATGGGTGCAGGTCGATGGGCTCTGACAGGGTCAGTGTTGGTGCTGCTGCAAGGGACAATTGCAAGGGATTTGAAGGTGTAGAGAATAGCGGGGGGGGGGGGGGGTGCAGGCCCTGGTACAGGTTCGCTGCAGGGTTGGCTGGGGCTGCTCTGTGGGTATTGCCGGGGGATGAGGCGGGCAGATGGGCTCGCATCACCCGCTTGTGTGTAGTTGCACAAAAATCACCACCATTGAGTAGCAGTCACCTTGTGTTCATTGGTGGCATGTGTGATCCTCATGGATTTATAAAAAATGCTCACCACGATCCCCGCGTGCTCCTTTACCTGTTGCATTTGGTGTCTAAACATCACCCCACCATGCATGCCTTTTTCACCCAATCGCCACATCTTGGCGTCTCTTGGGCCCCCCTCTCCGTTTGCCCCACACAGGATTCTGAATCTCACACCCAAACCCCTTGCGTGCACACTCCTGCAGTTATCAGTTTGCCAGCCGCCCAGCCCAGGACGACCTTGCTGTCATCGCAAACAGAGCCCCACTTGTTCCCGACGATGTCGGCGGCGCCCCCTCTTCCGCCTTTCGCCTGACCAACGTATCCAACGTCGCTGGCCAGTCCTTCGTCGGGCTCATATCCAACAGCGCTGACTCCGATATTTTCAGCTTCCAATCGGGCCCTGGCAGCATCACCGTCAGGCTGCAGCTAGCGTCGGCGACGCCTGTCCTGATCCCGTCCCCCACAAGGGTCTGGGAGCGCACCAACCTTGACGCCCAGGTGGTCATATCCAGGTCAGACGGCAGTGTGCTGAGTACACTGACCAACAGCGACGGGTTCCTGCGGGGCACGCTTGCCACCGTGGCGCTCCCCACCCCGGTGAGCTTGGCGTGTGTTTGTGTGTGTGTGTGTGTGAGTGTGTTTGTACGCGTGTGTGTGTTTGTGTTTGAGTTAGTGAGAAAAAGTCAGTGAGTGATGATGAGAGAGATATTGCGAGAGAGAGAGAGAGGGAGTGAGAGGGGAAAAGAGATAGAGAGAGAGAGTATGTGTGTGTGTATGTGTGTGAGAGTGTGTGTGTGTGTGTGAGAGAGAGAGAGAGAGATGTGAGCGCGTGCGCACGCCCGGCAAGTCGCTTGGCACTGCGTCTCGATACATTCCAGCCTATGAGCGAGGTCCCCACGCCCTATTATGTGTTGCAAAGCTGCCACATCCCCTGTGCACTGCGCTCGCTGTGTGCCCGCACGGATGTGGTGGTGGGGTGTGCTTTACATAGGGCGGGTTCCACCGGCGCCTGCCTCGCGGCTCTGCCATGCCTGCAGCCATCTCGGGGCTGCTGGGGCAGGCAGCACTACAGCACTGCAGCTACTCTGCGAGACTGCATCCCTCCAGCCACCTCCTGATTGCATGCGTCCAGATTCTGCCCGGCGGTGTGCGGGACTCCGGCGCGGCCCCATGCTTGTTATCTTTTCTCTGACTTGCCCGGCAACTCCTGTCTGCCACCGCCGATTCCCCTTGTTGCGCTGCGCATCGCCTCCTGCACATACAGGGCACCTACTTCTTGACTGTCAGAGGCACCGGCCAGGGCGCCGACGCGACCACCGGTTACACCAGCTATGGCTCGATCGGCCAATACACCCTCACAGTTGTGGCCCAATCGGTCAACTCGACCGGCACTGTCGTCACGTGCTCCACCCTGAAGTCTGTCCAGCTGCCACAGACGGCCGGTGGATCCTGCTCTGTGGCGACGCTGAAAGAGTCTGATATATACACAGCCGTTGGTGGGGCAGATGTGACCATCACACCCGCCCTGCCATCTGACCTGCGGTTCAGGACAGGTGAGCGTCTGCGTGGCCCAACGACCACAAGAACTGGCAGGTGGTGTGTGCACGCGCCAAACAGGAACATAACATGGGTGGCTGTGTGCACGGCCTTGCACGCAATCTCATGTGCGCAAGTGGTGCCTTGCCCAGCCGAGACCCATGTACAAGAGCGTGGGTATTAGTCACACAATGACATTACCATGGCTATCTTCATGCCAACCCTTCATGAGATCGCTGTTTTCCAAGGTGTAGATCATGCACATGTCCCGTCTGGGTGGCTGTCGCCGTCCCCGCCTTGGGCATTCGCCCACACACCTGTTTGCCCGACGACATCTATGCCCTTGATCCACCATCTGAACCACCGCCACGTGTGCAGGCTCCTACTCCTACTCCATCGCCGGCACCAGCGGCGTCGCCTGCACCGTCGCCTTCACAGTCGCCGCGGGCCCCTCCTGCGCGTCAGCCGTCACCTGCACCCAGGGCACCAAGGTCGTGGCCCTGGAGGCGGGAAGCTGCAGCGGCGTCAAGATTGACCGGGACGACCTCTTCACCGGGGGAGGAGCAGACCCTGTTGTGACGCCGCCGCTTCCAGACGACCTGGTCTTTCCCCCAAGTGAGCGCTGAGTGCACGACTTGAATCCACCCAACAGCGTCATGTTCCCAATTGTACTCTAGGGACCTAGATGTGCTCTGGAGCGATCGTGAGAGAGAGGCTGCTTCAGCTACTGCGCTTGAATTTGCACCTGTTTCCGTATTGACAGTCGATATGCCACTGCATCTGATGTTTCTGTCACCACGCCGGCGGAGGCTGAACAGTGTGTCGTTCCCGGCAATGCATGATGTGTACACAACCTGGTTGTGATTGTTTTCTCATTAACTCATTTGCACGCTGCTGCCCACAGGCAAGACGAAGACGTACCGGGTAGTCAGCTCTGCTGACTCGAAATCTCGCTGCTTTTTCAAGTGAGCGAGTTGGCCCGCTTCGATCAAGGGACAAATGTGATTGATGGCAAGGTGCATGAGAAGAGCTGCCTGCTTGAGATGTGATAGGGTTGGGCAGGCAGGAGCGCATGAATCCTCACAGCACACAACACACACATGCCACACCTCAACGCACATCCCTCAACGCACACCCCTCAACGCACACGCACGCGGCCGCGCGCACGTGCGCACACACACACACACACACACACACACGTGCGCATGCGCATGCGCGGATGCGCACATCCCTTCGCCTAGGACAACGATCTCACACTCCTCACCCCTCCTCTTCCCGCCACACCCCAAAGGCTTCAAGTGCAGCCATGCACCCCACAATGCGTCACTCCGCCCGTCTCCCAGTCCACGGCTGCTGGCAAGTGCGCCACCGGCAAGATCTCAAACCCCAAGGCGCCCTTTGTTGACGCGAGCATCGGCTCCACTGTAACGAGCCTCAAGCTCTCCCCTGCCGGCTCGCTGAAGGCCGGCAGGCAGAAGGTCACAGGGACAGTCAAGTATGCCGGCGGCGTCAGCGTGAAGGCCTCTTGCGACTTTGTGGTGGACGACGAGGAGGCGCCGGCCGTAAAAGTTGTGCCCAAGTCTGGCGAGGCCTGCGCCTGGCCAAAGCCCGGCCAAAGCAGCGCGTGCTACCTCCCCAAAGAGCTGGTGAAGGTGACTGACAACTGCCGCCCCCTGCCGGCCCCGGCGTTCGTCAGCTGCGTGGTCACGTCCAACGGCGCGGCCGCGGACTGCTACCGCGAGGCGGGCACGGGCAGGGTGTGTTTGAACTACCCGGCCGCGGGCGCGGCGGAGCCGCGTGTGGCGCTTGCGACGTTCGTTGCGGTCGACGCGTTCAAAAATGCGTCCCCGGACACGAACGTCACGCTGACAGCGTATGGGGCCAAGCCGGTCTCTTCGGTCCCGGGATGCAAGCCAAGGTGACAGGTTTGAACACATCAAAGTCAAAGGGAGGGCATTTGTGTCCGCCACCCTTTGCTGCACCTGGGGCTGCGTTTGGGACCGCAGGAGGTGGGGTCTGCTGTGTGCTGGTGCCGTTTGTTCTGTCGCATGGAATCAGCGCCCAGCGAATTTGATTGCGTGCGTGAATGTTGACAGCCATTCCAGGAGCGTGTTCGGGGATTAAGCACGCCACACCCTGCTGCAGGGTGTGGCGTGCTGCAGCTGCACGCTTGGTGCAGTGACGGGTTTGGTGCACCACGCGTGGTGCACTTCCGGCGTTGTGCTCATTCTCTGGCACAAGGGTTGTTGCACTTGCTGCACCACAAGGCCAGTGCAATTGCTGCCTCATCGTGGTACAATTAATTTGCGATTCATAACAACAGCCCTGCTATGTTGCCAACATGCACTGCGCACTAGGTACTGAGAACTTCTTTCAAACGATTTTGCAGACATCTGCATGCCGTGATACACTGGGTTAGAAACCACTTTGACACACAATTGCACGTGAGTGCAGGGCCCATGCACACACAGATACGTTCCATGTTTCTGTTTCCCCTCCCCCAACGTGTGCGTGCGCACATGCGCGCAGGGGCACACACACACACACACACACACACACACACACACACACACACACACACTTGAGTGTACACTCAAAACGTGCGCATGCACGTATCCAAAAACGCCCTTGGTGCAAGAATCCATGCATGCGCCCTCCAGTGCAGTTTGCCCTGCACAGGAACATTGCAACAACTATCTTGGCGTTTACAAAAGGTCGCTGTCCATTTCAAAGCAGCAAAGCACACGCAGGGCGAGTGCGTGGGTAGCGGATTTGCCACCAAAGGCACTCAGTGCATGCGCCAGCAGCCTTGATTCTGTATTACAGGCTCAGGATGGACCACAGACGGCAGGCGCAGCACGCAGGGGGCCGCAAGTTGCGAAGACCACAGCGAACGGGCTCAAGCGTGCGTTGTGCGCAGCACGTCCGACGCGCAAGAGCGCTTTAGGCATGCGGCGTGGGGCGCCGCGCCGCTACTCCGCATCATGCCGTGCGTGGCGATGATCCTGTCAAGATTTGATTCTCGGCTGTGTGTTGGAAAAGGCATGAGCAGCACCCGTCGGTGAGGCAACTATAATAGAAAAAGGGGCGTGGTGCCATGTTGTCGTCCACGTCGTTGACAACAGCAGTGGGGCACCAGCGAGGGTGGTCGGACAGTGACTCCCATCGCACGAGCTCCAAGCACGATGAAGATAGGAGTCATACAGCAAAATATTTCAGCATATAGGCTTACGTTTGAGGTAAAATTTTATTTTCTAAACGTTGACGACCCCAAGACGGGTGGCAAACCGCGGGCTTGCCGATGCCTGTGTGACTCAGCAATGCAACTAGCCAACTACCCCGTAGCGGTCGGGTGTCCATCGCTGCCTCCCGACTTATTGTTATGAAATGATTTTTGTTGCTTGGTCGCGCCTACCCGCCTACCATATAATCACCCGATCTGCAGCCCAGATAGGGACTGACTGATGGCGACCAAAGCCAGCCGCAACATGAACACCCTTGCCTTGGCCGTGTTCACTTTCGTCGTGTTTCACGCTGCGGTGGTGCAACTGGCCGCCGGAGAGCCTGTGAATCTCGCGGCCATGGCCACGCTGGCCACGCGCCCAGCGTTGCTCGCCGCCTTTGACGCCCTGCCCCTGGCCGACGTGGCCGCCAAGGCGGCGAGGCTGGGCACAACGCCCACAGAGCTGCGGGACTGATCCAAACCAGCGCCGCCGTCACTTTCGACGCGGATTTCGGCTCCCTGGAATACCGGTGACGACGCGGGCCTGCAGCCGGCATGCATGTTTCCATGGGAATGCCTGGGCACATGGCCCGCTGGTGTCAACACATGGCAGGCGGTCATGCCGCCCCTGCCATCTCCACCGCATCCATGCTCTTGCACGTCCTCACGATGGGGCTGTGGCTGCCTCTGCTCTGCAGCCGCGGTCAAAGGCCAGCTTGCGAACGTTTTCAGAACAGGTTTTTGTGCGGCCGCAGCGTCCCACGCAACTGGCACCCGCCATTGTCCCAGGGTCTGCACCGCATGTCATGCCCTTGCTTCTTCCCCAGATGTGACTTTGGGGCTGTGGCTGGTGGTCCCGGCGGCAAGTACCTCGTGTTTCCCAACGAGCAGGGGGTTCCCACCACGAACCCAGCTGCAGCCGACGCCGGCTCCTTCGGCGGCCAGCAGTTGCTGGTGGATCCGGGGACGGCAGACCCGGACACATCTCAGGCGTTCAAGCTGCACAGGTGACAAATGCACGCGCGTGCATGTATCTGGACGTGCACAAGTGACAACCAACACCGTGCCTTGGGCAAGGGTGCGCATCACAGCAGGGATGTGGGTGCGCTCGCTGGCACTGAAGCTGCACTGAAGCTGCAGCGCGTGCCCAGGTTGAGAGGAATACCTGTAGAAGCGTCCCGGGGTCGCATACTTCTGGATCCATCAAGGGTCACGGGACCGGACTGTGAGCATCATCGTTGCATGACCGAGGCTCAAACGACTATCATCCGCGTAAAAGCAGGCGCACACGCGCAGCACATCCTTGGCTTTGCCCACCCACCTGCAAAACCCGCCTGGCCCCTGCATCTGGCCCCATGCAGCCGGCCAGGGTCGCCCCGCACGCTCTACCTTGACTTCAACGGCCACATCACCACAGGCACAAGGTAGGTGACCCTGCCTACAGTGACCTCGTTTGTACCGCCTCGCCACCCTGCTGTGGGGACGCCAAGCATTCGCCTCACGTCGTCATGGTCCCCCAGGGCAGTGGCTGCGAAATTTTTTTGCGCACACATCACACGACCGCCGCAGGTGGAACAAGGCACCCTGCACCAAGGACACGACCTGCACCAAGCCGGCCTGCAAATTCTGCTTCAGTGCCACCAATGCGCACCCGCCCAGCTTCACCACCGAGCCATTCGATCTGGACGGCAACACCAACGCGTTCAGCACTGACAAGCTGGCGGCGGTGAGCCCCCTCGAACACATACACACGCACACACACGCGCGCACACACACACACACACACGCATGCACATGCGCGCTCGGCCAGCGCGTCTGCCTGAGAACGGCCCACAACGCCGTGAGGGCTGCGCGCGCCATCCAGCCTCAATTCACAGCCTGGGGCTGCAAATACCTGGTTGCTGCCGGCTGCCGCCACTGTGTCCACCACATGGGGGTGCATTCTGTCTTGACCTCTATGCCCTCACTTGTCCCGACGGACCTTTTGTGTTTCCGCCCGCAGATTGTCAAGATTTGGTTAAATGTTGCTGAAGGTGGGACAGGGCTGGGGACGAGGGCCCTCCCGTGCAAAAGCTTGGTTGGGGATGGGCAGATGGGCTCCCCCTCGTGACCAAGGCGGCGGGCGGGTCTCAGGGCCTCCAGCTGCAGACCTGAGAAGAGTGAGGGTCACACCAGCACTTAATTTGACACACAACCTTGCGCTTGCATTGCAGATTTTGCCCCCTTTGACCTGGATGTCACCACCGGTGCGTGCTACCAGCGCAAACGGAGCAGCATCTGCTTGCCCGCGCTTGAATGTGCAATTGTGCCCAAGGGGATTAGGCGGGGTGCGCACATTCAGGCATGCACATGCCGGTGTGTTTTGCACGGAGGCCGCAAACCTGACACCTTCTCTACTGCTGATGCTTGTGCAATCCAGAGGAACCCAACTTCTCCTTGACCAGAGGGGTTGGCATGCGCATCGTCATCGGCGGCAGAGACTCTGACTGTGAGTGCCAGGCTGATGAGAGAGAGAGAGACTACGCTGACGCCTCGCGCGGCTAGAAGCCACGCTGCAAGCGGCGCCGCGTCGGGTTAAGGAGAGGGGTGTGTGTGGTGAGCCACACCCCCCACCATAGGGGATCAAGGGGGGGGCACTTTCACGTGACCCCGCGCCCTTGACGCGGCCTTGACGGTGGGCAGTTGCTGGTGTGCAGCAGCTGCTTTCGGCGGCCCCATACGGCTGTCATGCTCTCCACCGCGTGCAGGTTGAGGTGCTTGAATAGAGCCTTGTGTTTTTCTTTGGGCACCCCTAAGTCGGCCATCTCCTTCATCATGTCCGCGTAGATTGCGCCCCCCG